ATTTTAAAAGAACAGTGACATATTGTACATATTGATTTTATTATAAAGCCAATACAGCAGCAACCCTATCATGCTCCAGGAAATACTACGTAGGGTTGGCCGACAGACTTGGTTGACTGGATGGTATTGACGAGGGCGATCGAGACGGCGCCTTGGAGAGACTTGGTTGTACCGAAGGCGAAGAGGAAGGACTGCTGCTGGGAGAACGGGAGGGTGTTCGGGATGGCGAAGCAGATGGATCGTTGCCTTCAGTGGGCACTGGTGTAGGCCGCCGTGTTGGCACTGCAGTCGGACGCGGCGTTCGTTCACGGTCACGGGATCGGCTGCTACCCATACCCATGCCCATGCCCATACCCCTACCCCCACCCATGCCCATACCTCTCCTTCTCCTACGTCTTGGTCCTGGTGCAAGAATGATATTTGCTCCCTGTGGGAGAAATCCAATGCCTGGTTGGAAAATCTGAACGTTGGTCATGATTCTTTGGAGTTGTGGCGTCGTTTCAACGTTGGGCGATGCCCGAGGTGTCAGGCCGCCGTTTAGGTAGAGAAGGTCGTTGCGAAGATTGGTCCGGCCCCCGCCTCCCATTCCACCCATTCCCCTCCTCCTCCGGCCCCGCCCTCGGCCTCCTTTGAGCTTTCGCTGTATGGCTGTTTGTTGTTTGTCAGATAAGCCACGAACAGGCAATGCTTTGGTGGTATGCTGCTGTGATGAAACTTGGTTTGTAGTTTGTGTTGCCTCCGTTTTCGCTTTTACGCCTTTCTTGCCTTTTTTCGCATTTCTCATGGTTTTTGCGTGTTGGTGATAGTGCTGTTGTTTTCCTTGTGACGATGATAGTGTCGGTGACACGACTTTTGGGGTGACAGGAACTGGAGATCGCGTATCGCCGGTGTTGTGTGATGATGTGACGACAAGTGATTCTGTCTCAATTTCGGGATAGGTCACCCCGACTTTGCTAGCGTAGCGTATACTTTCCGACGTGAAAAAGATGATGCCCGCACAAAAGACAAAGATAAGTGCCACTGATAGCGGGGATCTTCTCGAAGCGCTTTTCTCATGCCATTCCTCCTCTGCGCTGGACGAATCCGGTAAGCGATGGCTAGATGAGTGGAACGACACGGAATCCAGACTATCGTCGTCTTCCCTGCACCTCTTGGGCGAAGGTGTTCTCGGTGCCTTCATCGTCTTGCTTCCTGAAGCGATCTCGTTGCCTTCTTTGTTGGTTGTCGAGGTTTGCGAAAAGATGAGACGACCTCGGAACGGTCGTGCAACAAGATATTTGGAACGTCGTGAACTCCTTGGTCGTGCAAGTCAAAATTGGTTTTTGGATTCCTGCGCGCCTTCCCTCTGATGACGTCTGATTCATGATTGCTCCGAGAGTTTAGACCCCAATGGGTGTCAACAGCTGTGTCACCTCGTCGCCTCACAAGAAGCCACACAAAATGAAGATCGGAACGAAGCAGCTGTCCATCTTCTCACCCGAGAGGAAGATGAACATCTACATGTACTGAGCATCATCAGCGTCTGGTGAAGAAGATTAGACAAGGCGAGGACCAGTTTCAACCCCAGATTGAGTGGATATGATCTCTTTCCGATCCTTCCTTTTGCTGCTGCTTGCGGGACAATGCATTTTCTCGGATGGTCTACCCTGGGGAAGTCTCCTGCAGACCACCTACTCAAGTCAACGCTACCAAAGATCCTCCAAGCCTCTTTTCCTGGCAAGATTCGGTGCTCAGGCATCGTTGGTTTGGAATGGCACTACGATCCTCGATCACAACGTTACTGGTGGGGCTTTCGTGGCGGACAAAGGCAATGACAGCGACTTCGAAGACACCAATGACGACAGCGACTTCGAAGACGCCAATTGCAGCGACGGCGGGGAATGCAGCAGCGACAATGAAAGTGTTGATGAGACTACAGCTATCAGCAGTGATTTGAGAATCCTGAAGGATAGACTCAAACAGGCAGTCACAGAACAGCTTCGATCTATTCCTTCTCTGAGGGAATTCCTGGACAGCCCAGAAGAAGAAAGTTCTACCACAGCAGACTCCTCCTCCATTGCCAACGACGACGACGACAATACAGAGTGGAGCTTTCTTTCCCGAGTGTTTTTCACCACCAAAAACAGCAAATTGGCAAATACTCTCACGGAACAGATCCAAGCCTTCAAGGAACGAAATTCCGTCAACTCTACTTTTGATTTTGTAGGAGCTGTAAGTCCTCGCTGTTGTCGTCGCTGTTGTGTCAACCAGAGGGTATCATTGATACACCGTGGGGGCCACTCAGAGGCTGCTAGTCTTGTTGCACCCCTGAGCGGTTGGGATATGCTGGCACGGAATATCGCCCTGACAGCGGGAAAGATTGTCCTCTTCCAATGTCTTGTCTCCTTTTTGGCGATGCGCGAGATGCATTGGGTTGAGCAGGTCGGTCTTGTCGTTCGTACCTGTAGTTGTTCTCTTGTTGGCACCAGACATTGTGCTTGTCATTTGTTACATATGACTTCAACCGCCCTTTGTCTCTTTCCAACGTCTCATTTTCGTTTCCTTTGTTCTGCTTTCCTTTTCCGGTCTCTCTACTTCCCGTAGTTTGCAGATCGAATTTTGAGCAAAGAAACTGCCACGGCTGTCAAGACCATCCGTACCATACTCACCAACATGGAAGATCACGGTGTCGTAGACGTCTTTTCCAAGTATTCCTCACAAGACGTGGCGGCAGCTCTCTATTGCCTCTACCGTTTGCAACGAGCCACCAAACGATACGAAACTCTACTCGACCTGCAGGAGCCCGATCGCCACCCGGAAGACCTGCTGCATGTTTTGGAAGATCTGTCTCATTATGTAGTCTATGCGAACGCTGCCTATGGATGGAAAATGGATCTCGCCTTTAAGCGAAAACTTCATCTTGGAGATGAACAAGCCCTCATGAAAAAGACTGGGATACAACAGGAAGATATCCTAAAGCTAAGCTTGAAGTCCAAAGCTCATGTTCCGGTAAGAGAGAGCTCGCAGGCACAAGTTTTGTACATATCTGCTGGTTGCTGTGTGGTTCAGGTCTTCTCATGGTGCTTGTGTTTGTTCACGTTCACTCTAGTAGGCATACTTCTTGGTGCGAGATCGTCGTCAAAAGGCACTGGTTCTGGGTGTCCGCGGGACTTGGTCGGCCGCAGATGTCTTGACCGATCTATGTTGCACAGCAGAAGAATATAAAGGGCCATCTGATGATGGTAGTAGAGGTGATGATGGTGAATCTACACGACAACAATACCGAGCCCATCATGGCATGTTAGAGGCCGCCATGGCGGTTGCAATTGACATGGAAGACATGATTGAAGAGGAGTTAAGGGCCAACCCTGACTACTCATTAGTGCTAGTCGGGCATTCCATGGGGGCTGGTGTAGCCTCATTGTTAGCGACGTTTTGGGAAGAAAAGTTCCCCAACATGAAAACGTATCTGTTCGGCGGTCCCTGTGTTGCTCCGCTGGACTGTCATCCAACCAACAATCCTTCCATCATCAATGTCATCAGGGAAGGAGATCCTTTCCGCTGTCTGAGTTTGGGGCATGTTGCTGATGTGTCCGCTGTCGTGTCTCTTTTGTGCGAAGAACCTGACTTGCGACGAGATATTCTGGCGCGGGCAGAGGGACGTATCGACGAGATGGAGTATGAAGATCTAAAATTTTGCTGGGAGACAACGGAAGACTTGCGAGAGAACGTCATGACAAACCCGAACAAAATGTATCCGCCAGGACGGATTTTTCACCTGAAGAAGCAATCTAAGAAAGATTCAGATAACTTTGATGATTCTGATACGGAAGACGACAACATACGCTGGGCAAAATCAGGTGATTCACACAACGTTCTCATACACGAAGTGGGACCACAGTTCTTTTCTGAGCTCCTAATCCGTCCTCGAATGTTCGATATTTCGAGGCACCTTCCGTCGTTGTACGAAGACATGCTCAGAGATGTCACCGAAATCGAGAGACTTCGCAGCGCAGAAATAGATTCAAATCGATGACATCACGCCGAAGTAACGCACACGACTGATGGCTGCAACTAATGCTGTACTCTAGTTGATTGTATCTTTGCTAGAATCTGCTACGCATCCTTCAGTGTTCTCTTTGTAGCTTCATGTACCTTCCCATTATTTCTTGGAGGTGACTGCATACACGGTATGAAGTCAAGCTCCGTGTCCCAATCTGGACGCGACTTTCCTTGCAGCGCCAATGCTGCCAGTGCATGATTTGGTTTGCATTGAACTGATTTATCATGCAATGGTGACTGAATGGTGGTCAACACCACACAAATGGTTGAATCATGCAGAAGACAAGAGCGAATCTCTGTCAACTGATGAATCGCAAGACAATCTGCACATCAGGAACTCCGCCATTTTACTCACGTCTATAAGAGTTCACTTTGATCTTCCCCTGCATTACCTGTTACGGTTGTCCTGAAGGGTTGCTAGAGGGGATTGTCGATGGTGACACAGAGTGGGAGAAGAAAGTTGGGAAGAAAGTGGGCTGGTTGTCGCCCTTGCCCTTGCCCTTGCTTCTTTTGCTTTTGCTGCCCATTCGCATTCCTTTCCCCTTTCTGCCCTTCCCCTTGCTGGATCGCAAGACAATCTCGACATAGGAACTCTTCCATTTTACCCACGTCTATAGAGTTCACTTCGATCTACCCCTGGAGTACCTGTCTTTGCCGGACTCCACTTTCCCGAGTCGGTACAGCCCTTGTTCTCGGCTGTACGTCATAAGGTGCCTCAGACGAGTACGATTGCTACGGCCTCTCCGACTTCTTCTGGTGGAAGACTTTGATGATGATTTAGACGACGACGATGAAGAAGAAGAGGGGAAAGGAAATCGGCGAATTGGTCGGGGTGTAGGCCGAGGAGTTGGTCGCGGGGTCGGCTGTCGAGTAGGCACAGCGGAAGGAGAAGTAGAGGGATTCTTTGATAAAGTTGGTTGAATGGATGGCGTTGATGATGGATTCAGCGAGGGTTCCTTGGAAAGACTGGGCTGTCCCGAAGGATTCGAAGATGGAACAGCAGAAGGTTGTAACGAAAGGGACGGTTGTCCTGAAGGGTTGCTAGAGGGGATTGTTGATGGTGACACAGAAAGAGTGGGAAAGAAGGTCGGAGAAAATGTCGGGAAGAAAGTCGGGAAGAAAGTGGGCTGGTTGTCACCCTTGCCCTTGCCTTTGCTTCTTTTGCTTTTGCTACCCATTCGCATTCCTTTCCCTTTTCCGCCCTTCCCCTTGCTGGATCTAGACGAGGAATCACCCTTCCCCTTTCCTTTGCCTGATCTAGACGAGGATTCTGAGTAAGAGTCTCCCTTTCCGTTCATTCGGAAAATGTTCAGATGGTGTTGTCTGGCGTGTTGTGACGCTATCGCATGGACCTGCAGATCTCGTTTCCGTTGTTCTCTAATTCTCTTGTGACCAAGTCGTTTGGGCCGTGAGCTAGTATACTCCGAAGGCAGCACACCTTCATATTCAAGTCTTATCAATTCCTCATCTGTTTTGTCGTCAGTCTCGTCGCCCTCTTCCAGTTGCCATTTATTTGTTTCAGTAGCACCTTCCGTTAGCTTGATATCCCTTCCCCTCTCAACAAGAATTCGACGGCCAAAGGCCACAACCAATACCAATCCAACTGCCGTCAGAATCTTCCGTAGGCCATGTACTTGTTTGGTTTGCCTTGCCCCTTGCAAGGAGCTACCGGTATGCATAGCCCCAATGTCCGAGCTCATCGTCGACCGGTTACCGGCGCCTTTCTTTTTGTTCGATGCGAAGGTTTATCTTGTTGAAGAATCTCAGCTTAGCCGTTGGAGGTATGATTTACTATAGGAATGTGTGTAGCAAGCTTACATAGAGGAATTTATGGTAATTAGGGAGAGGCCTGCGCAAAGTGCGCAAAAACAACGCACCACATTTCTGTGGCTCACAAAGTTCTCCATCCAAGGGGGCGACAATAGCTGTGACAATGGCGAAATGTCAAACCGTCCATCTTGCAAAACAGCAATCTTCAAATCCTTCTCTCCGTCAAGTTAGATCAGAACATCATTGGTCAAGGAGAAGCTCCGTCGCAGCAATACTACTAGTATTTTTAAAGTTGCGGTAGCGATTATTTTCTTATTTCCATTTCTACAACGTCCAATTGAAGCAATGATTCAATCATTGCATCCAAGATAGTTGGCTCGATGTCGTCCTAAAAGCGCAATGGTTCTCGCTGAATGAAGCAACTATTGATTGGTTTTCCAAATTATCTGGCGTAATGTGGATACAGTCGATTTCTTTCTTCTTTCCCCGATTGTCCGGTGACGAACGAAGGGGCTTGGGATGGTTCTTGGGACGAGGAGGGTTCCTGGGAAAGCGAAGGGACCGCAGAACCCGATGGAACGTGGGACGGCTGGTTAGATGGTGCGAAATGTGGAAACAGTCGCTTTCTTTCTTCTATTCCCGATTGTCCAGCGGCGAACGAAGGGGCTTGTGATGGTTCTTTGGACGAGGAGGGTGCCTCGGAAAGCGAAGGGCCGTCAGATGGTAAGGACGAAGGTTGCAAAGACGGCTGTCTCGAAGTGCTAGGATGTATCGTCGGTAGAATGGATGGTTCATTGGAAGGCATCGTAAAGGGTCGAGCTGAAGGGAGCAACGAGGGCTTTGAGGACGGCGAGTCTGTAGGAGAACCGGATGAAAAGCTGGGTGTGTCCGAAGGAAAGAGCGACGGGTCCGAAGAGGGCTGATCGGAAGGGTATGTACTAGGCATGCTGGATGGAAGACTAGAAGGATCAGCTGATGGTATGCGAGATGGTAGACTGGAAGGTACATGCGAAGGTTGCCCAGACGACTGGCTTGGAGACTCCGAAGGCTCTTGGGTTTTTGTGAATGCAGTCAGCTCTGATGGATCATGATTCCTACCCTGGTTGGCAATTAAGATATCAAGAGCCATTTGTAGAAGGGTGGTTGGCGCAGCTGTGGGAGGGTTTGTCGGGGGCGTTGTGGGAGGGTTTGTCGGCGGGGTCGTGGGTTTTTCAGTAGGGATGTTTGTTGGAATGTTAGCTCCACTTCTTTCATCTAGGATAATTCCAGGAACGGTTCCTGTTCGTCTCCTCGCAGAAGGACTGGAACTGGGAACCGAACTTGGATTAGAGCTTGGTGTTCTGGATGGAATTGACGAAGGCGATTTTGAAAGTGATGGTGCGGATGATCTTGTCGGTATGTTACTGGGGACAACGCTGGGGATAGATGATGGTCGCGCTGAGACTGACGGTGACGTTGAAGGGAAGTCCGAGCTGGTTGTCGGCGTGAGAGTTGGGGCTCCAACAAAGGTTGGAAAGAGAGTGAAAGATCTTGATGAACGGCTCTTGGATTTGGAGCGGGACTTGGATCTTCTACTACTGCTGCCCTTGCCTTTGCCCTTCCCGCTTCTGGAACTCTTTGAACTCGATCTTGATCGTCGTGGATGCCTGACTCCATAAGCTGGGACACCGTGTGCAAATATGTTGCTCCTCATGTTCAACTCTCTTCTGTTCTGTTGTGTTTCCCCAAGAATTGGATGCCCCCGGATACGCCGCCTGTCAGTACTGGTTGTGCTTCCCCTGCCCCCTTTAGCAGATTCGCTGTCCCAAGATTTCCCCTCTTGAGTAGCCTCTGCATCCATTTCAATTTCGAGTTGCTCCAGTTCATCCCGCCAGCTCACTTCATCAATCGACGCTTCCGTTCTCAGCTTCTTCCATGTCCTGGCCAACAGTGCCCCCACCAGCAAGATCCCCGTTGCAATGAGCATTCCCAAAAGGCGTTTTCGTATCAATCCTTTTCTGGGCCTTTCATCTCTTCCAACTGAAGTTTGCTTGAACGTCTCTCGAGTGCTGTGGTGCCGCCTTATCCTTTCTTTCTCCATCTTGGTTGCTATTGCAGCATTTTGCACTTCGAAACTTGCAAAAATGTACTGGCTCTGGCCATTCCGAGGAATACCGTAGTGCGCGGAGCAGCCACATATGTGAGATAGCCAGGGCTACAACTTAGCGAAGGGCGACAAGGAGCGCCAAATTCGTCAGTGCGGGGAACCATGTCAGCTTCTTGAGTGGCAGTTGAAAGCCAACATTTCGAAAAAAGAAAATGGTCGTCTCGACATCCCCCCGTGCCCCCAAAAGAAGAGTTACCGATAGCTATCATCAATCGTGTGATACTTCCATGATACCGGTAGTCTAGCTAGTTTTGCAAGTAAGTTTGGGAAGAAAGTTGAATGACGAGCTTCAGTGACAGGTATGGTAGGCAAAGAACATCTGCCTCCGCAACCCCTGGAGAGCTTTGGCTAGCCGGTAGCCGGTCTGATTTGGAGTATCTACTTGAAAACCTATCCTTCACAGCTTGACAGGCTCCCCTATTTATTTATTTATTATCCAGAAGCTACAGTCGTACCGTTTTTGAAGCCTTACGGGCAGTGAATGGTCCTCCACGGTGGTCTATTTACAAAGCGGAACTGGTGAAGTACAATAGTTATCTGGTGATGCCCCTTGGGTTGATGCTTGCAACCCATTGAACCCTAGCTAGTAGTCCCTGCGTTTCTTCCTGCGGACCGAGCCCTTACTTGCCAGATCTCCTCAACTGGCTGGCTGCAGCTCGTCCAGGCAGTTTCGCGCCATCCAGAAAAATTTCAAGGGTATATTGTCCCAGATAAAGCTCATCAAGCCCCATTGGCTGCGTTCAAACTTCGCTTGGCTTAGGATCCCTTCGTTCTTTGAGGGCAGAGCAGACAAGGAAAACGATCCCTTTGAGGGCAGAGCAGACAAGGAAAACAACCCCCTTGTAGCTGCTCTTTCATGTTCCACTTCCGGCAAAAGCAAAAGGCTATCTTCAGTTGTTTCCAAAGAGAGCCAAGAAGTCTGGTGGGAGGAATGCAATAAGGTCTTGTAGTTCCGCATCAAACTGCTGCTGGTCGATACTACTGAAGGACCTTCCTCTCATCATCCCCATCCCCATCCGGGACCTAGATCTAGATCCCCCAGTCCCAAAGGTTGGACGGGGCGTCCGTGGTCCATCTGTTGGAGCTACCGTGGGAGGAAAGGTGCGCAATGCAAAGGAGGGCGATTGGGACGGTCGAATCGAGGGAGGGGAAGATGGAGCCTTGGACGGTGTTGTCGAGGGAGACACAGAGGGGGCTTTTGAAAGTGTGGGCGAAATGGATGGCGTTGATGATGGAACTCTAGAAGGCCGTGACGATACAGATGGTGACAGAGATAAAGATGGTTGCCCAGAAGGATTTTTTGATACAGATGGCGACTCAGACGGAGATGAGGATGGTGAGCGGGATGGTGCTTTGGACGTAGTAGGCGACGTGGACGGTTGCTTAGATGGTGTTGTTGATGGAGAGACAGATGGTAGTCGCGAGGGAGATGCAGATGGTGATCCAACGGGAGATGCCGAAGGACTTGCAGAAGGAGTGGGAGTGGGATTGAAGGTACGACGGAAAAACCCGCTGCTGAAGCTGCCACTACGGTCAAAGCTGCCACTACGGCCTCCCATCATGCCTCCCATCATGCCTTGGAGCCGTCGCTCCGTGTCGCCTGACAAGCCAATCTCAGGGTGGCGTGGTTTTATCTTTCTGTGAGGTCGTTTTCGTCTTCCCTTGTCTTTTTTGGTTTGGGGTCTACTGTCTTTTTTGGTTTGGGGTCTACTGACTTTTTGAGAGGGGTACCATGGCTCTTCAAGTTCTTCGACATCCTGGAAAGAGACTGACTCTCCAAAAGTCTCGAAAGCTTCTTTCATTTCGTGCTGCATGGCATTCCCCAGTTTCACGACCTGTTCTGACGGCTGCACAACGTTGGCTTTTGAAAAGGTCGATGTGCCAAACGATAAAAGTGCAAAGAGTGCCAAAATGACAATGCAGTTTCGAGCAAATATCAAGGCTTTTGACTTTCGCCGTCTCTCGTGCGGTGTTTGGCTCTGACTGTCACTCTCGTCGCTGTCGTCGACCTTGTCTACCTCTCGCTCACTTCGAATAATAGTAGTGTCATCATCGCTGATGGGACCTATTGGTCCTTCTGACTTGTCGCTGATGGGACCTATTGGTCCTTCTGACTTGTTGCTCGTTTCTTCGGCAGACGATCCCATAGCCAACTGTCCTCTCCAAGGCACGTCGTGTCGTGGTGGTCCTTCTGACTTGTTGCTCGTTTCTTCGGCGGACGATCCCATGGCCAACTGTCCTCTCAAAGGCACATCGTGTCGTGCTCGTTGTGGGCCTGGGTGACAACAAAAATGCCATTTCACGAGAGCTGCCGTTGGAAGTTGATTTTTCTGCGCCCAAAATTTCGGAAATGAACTCCTGTACCAATTGTCGGCATCATCCTTGCACGTGGTGCTCTATGTGACATTTTACTTCGGGATAGAAGCAGCTAAATTTTCATGCGGCCTGCCGAGTACCCACAGCCACGACACCTCCACTTTTTGAGACTTAGCGAAGTGATATGGCAATGGATTGGGAGAAGGGAAACTTGGTTGTGCTCAAGAGTGGAGCGACCGAGTCATCCTTCGTTTGAGGAACCTGAACAATGAGCGAAGGATGCAAGCAAATGATACGATACACATTGCACATCTATCTACTCAGCCATCAATGATCATTCGTTTGGAGGTACAGGTCTATAGCAAAAGTGGGCTAACCCTGGCTGGCTAGAAGCTAATACCTATGCTAGTAGCTTACTGATACCGTAGGCCAAAACATAAGCCACCATCAACACGCGTCGAGGTGGCAGCCTCTATTGGTCTAAGGTAAAGATGCCAACAATCTCTCACTTCTTCCTTTTCTTGAACACTGTCCATGCAGTGGACTCGTTACCCCCACAAGTCAATAAGCACGCCATAAACTCCTTCACCTCTTTGATTGAGCGGAACTTCTTCTTGAGCATCGGTGAATACCAGTAGCGGTCACGGTGACCCTTCGAATCACCGCTTTGACGTTCAAAGACACGTCTCTCCCAACCAGTAGGCCAGCCTCCCGCAATTTGCAATTGTTCATCAGGCGGTCCGCGTGATATCTCAATTGCAGGGGGCCGCGCGACCCCGAAAGAGTTGGAGGATTTCCTCTCGTTGGTTTTCACCTTTAAATGTCTTGCGACCTTGCTTTTGCCCGTCGACTTTCTGGCTCTGTACGATGTTTTGCCTGTCACAGCATCCACAATGACCATATTCCTTCGCGTGTGAATCTTCATGACCTTTTTGGACATCCTTTGTTCCAGGGCTTCTTCGGCCAGCTTTTCGTCCAAGTCAACAGCAGCACAAAGCTTTTCCAGAGAATACTCTGAGGGCGACTCTCCCCCCTTGGGTAGGTACCTCGTCGCGATGCTATGCGCCAGAAAGACAACCTGCCAGACAATGTACCAGGTCTCGTTGATGTGGTCTCCCATTTTCTGGCTGTCTCTCACGGACTTGGGAAGCGACGCCATCTTGGATCCAGTCTTAAAGGCTTTGTATTGTGTCATTACGAAGCGAGCTGCATGGTCAACGGGGACAGAGAAAGATTTCTCTACAACGAGATCTTCACACATGACGCAGGAATCCACGTAGCCTTGTATGTCCAGAAGACCAGCCAAAAGGCCTTTTGGATTTCCACAACTCCCATCATAGAATCTTTTGCATTGATCTGGCAAATGCCGAATGGAAGCATGAGTGCCAGGAGGGCAGCCCGATTCAAATTCTAGCCCCTTACTGTCACCCGCGAAATTCTTGGCTTGGGCCCGTACTTTCTTGGCGGCTTCAGTTGCTGCGCGTAGGATCTTTTCCTCCGAGAGGCATATGCGTGGCTCTGTCGTCCGCGAGTTTTCCTCTACTTCGCAACTGAGTTGACGAACCATGTCTAGTGCGATGGGACACCAAATGGCTGGATCCAGTGGGGATTCCACGTCGTGCCTCAAACGGTACCACATGGATTCCACATTCTCCTCCTGAAGAGCTGCAACGACGTTTTTGCCATCGTGATCAATCAGAATCTGGTCACCTTCCGAAAACTCGGACAAGAATGAGACGGATGCCATCCCTTTTGCCCACTCATTGCATTGTTTGATCATTCCCTCGCAGGGATATCCTGGCTGCTTGCGCCCTGGCTCCACCGTACGTGCCGTGACAGTTTTTTGTAATTCCTTCAATTGCTGCAGGGCGACTTCTCCAACCATCTGCACACGGAACAAAGCCACCAGTTGCCGACCCAAAAGTGGGACTTTCCTGTCTTTGAGAAACATCTTCGTTAGCTTCACCAAGGGAGCGTGGATGGATTCTTCCAGGAACTCCAACATTATGAAAAGAGAATGAATGTCAAGCTCCTTGATTTTCCCTACAATGTTGCTACGGAGATCATTGTTCCGAACCAAACGCTCCAAGGGGTCACTGTCGTCTTTCAAATTTTCTTCCAAATTTCGAACACCGTATCCCTGGATGTCATAAAAAATATTAGCCGTTGGAGAAAACTGTATTCAATCTGTACCTCTTTGCCAGTAGCACCAATGCTTACCTTGCGTTCTCTAACGTCCTCATAAAAGGAGAAATAATCAGTCAGAAGCTCAACTTCGTCTCCTTGTTTCATTGGTTCTTCAATGTCAATCTGGAATAAACGAATCAACACAACAAAGTGAGAATGTGATCTTCCCAACTGCACCCCCCTGCAGTGTGAATCCACTTGTCATGCACTCACAAAATAATAAACAGATCGATCGTGCACATCCAAAGCTTGAACATTCTGTGTCAACGACTTGTTGTGGCCCACTTCATTCACATACTGACATAGATTGCTTCTAGCAATATCGTGTGTCTTGCCCGTGAGGTCATCAGTAATATCGATAATCCAGTCTTGGCGGCTGTTCGAGAAGAGTTGGATGTTTAGAAGAAGCTAGAAGCTAGAGGGAGGAGAGGAGTATTCAGAGAAGGGAAAAACTTACTCCCACAGCTTTTCTTCTACCCCAAAGCACCATTCACTGGGCTCGTAGCTAAACACAAAACTCTTCACGTCAAAATGCAGAATTGGCTTTCGATCATTGGGTCTGAAGGGCCCGTACCGGCCTAATCCTGCAGAATGCAACGCACAGTCATTATGGTTAGCATGGCAAGAGAAGCCCATTTCCCAAAGGAGGACAAACAGGTAGCTTACGGATCAATCCATTGTTTTTCCCTTTCGAAGAGAACACTGTTGTGGGCGAAAACTCGTAGTCGGATTCTGTATATTTCCGGTCAGGACCAATCCCCTTTGGTCGAGTTGCCGCGGCTTCATCCAAAGATTCGCCACACAGCTTGACGTGGATTCCATGTCCATTCTCTCCGGCAGCCTCCAATTCATCCAACAATAGTGGTTTTTGATTCAGCTTGGGCGCTTTCTTGCCGATTGCACCACCTTTCAAGTGTCGAGCACCAAGATATGTCAAGAAGGCCCCAAACCCAGCGTTTGGAATCTTCGATTGCTTGATATCCACTCGAAAATCATACAGAATTTCTTCGGAAAGGAAGTGAGACATATGAAGTAGCAACATGAAAACAGTGAGAAACAAGGCAGCGCACTGGAGACAACAACCCTCAACTCGTAACGGCATCGCAACCTACCACCACCGGTCCCATAACAGGTGATTTTTCGAACGGGAAGGCCCGTCTCAGGGTCGCGTTCGACGCCTGAAAGATGATCCACAATCGTCATTTCCCAATCGGGCTTGTTCGTAAACTCTGCCTCTGCCGGTGCTTCCGGTCGAGCAATGTCACGTTTCGGTGCCACTGGAGACGGAGATTCCAACAAAGGCTCGGTGTATTGCACTCGATTGATACGCCTCCGGCAACGCCGCTGGGCAAACGGAGACGGGGTTTTCAGTTGAGCATCAACCTCTTCTTCTACGACCTCACTCGAGTCGTCGCCACTTTCGCCGTACTCAAACTCTTCGTCTTCGCTTTCGGCATCTGCCTTCGCTCGCTTCGACTTCGGCTTTGATGTATTAGTGGTGTCATCACCTCTTCTCTTTTTGTGCTCCTCCTTGTTGTTCGAAGCCTTCGGAGCCGAGCTGATTGATGAGTGCAGGGCTCGTTCTCGTTGCGCGTGTTGGTGACTTGTCTCTGAACGGCGAACATCTCGTCTATACTCGCCATCATCGTCGTCGTTGTTGTCGTTGTCATCGTCATCGACGTCGATAACTTCCACTTCGTCTTCCATCGGTTTGTCCTTCTGATCTGCAGGCGCACAAGGTGGAGATATTACGCTCTGACGCGCTGACGAAGAAGCTTTCAACGCTTTCGACAAGGCCGTTTTTCTTGCAGTCTGCTTTGGCCGTTGGTCTGACCGAGCAATACTCTCGTTGTCTGATGAATGCCCTCTGCTGTCAAAATTGTCATCGTGTGGGTTCGGAGCCTCTTCAGAGGATTCAGAGTTGTCACCATCGTGCTCCTGATTGGCACGGCTGTTCACGCGATTGCTTACATCTCCCTCAGAGTCGGTATCCACCAAGTCGTCCTCTTCATCATCCGAAGCTATGTATTTTCGCTTCTTCTTCCCTCGTGGCAAAGCTTGCGTAAGAAGCGCCGATTTGCGGGCAGAGGGAGTGGTGAATCGACTTCCAGCTTTCATGCATGTTTTCCTTGCAAGTCGTTTCATCTTTCCTTGCGATGCTTCGTTGTCTTCGTCATCGTCATCGTCACTGTCAGACTTCTCGTCTCGCGACTCAACTTGACCGCTTTCGCTATCATCCGAGCTTCTGGTGTTGCCTCTATCGCTGTCATCATCATTGGAGCTTCTCGAGTTATTCTTGGGTTGATCCCTTCTCAAAGTTTCGTCCACGTTTTTGCTGGTTGTCCCCTCGTCATCCGTTTTCCCAGCAACGGATGATGCATGCTCCTCCAATTTCTGAGCTCTGCCACGATCTGCCGTTGTATCGGCGCCGGTCTCTGACATGGGTCTAGTGTTGCGGCTGTCACTACTGCTGCTCCGCTTGATACTAGCAGATTCCGTTGTTTGGTCCATGGGTGCAGTCTCCTCTTGCTCGTCCTCGTCGCTCTCCTCGTCCGATGACGACAACAGCACCACCATCTTTGCTGAATTTGGACTTTTTTTGGCGTTGTTTGGTGGTGCCTCGTTGGATGCCACGCTCGAGGAGGCATCGGATGCTCCACCATGATTATTTGCCAAACCAGCTCGTCGACCTGGTTGACTTGTTGTTTGAGTTGTTGTCTGGCGC